TCTATCTATCTCTATCTATCTATCTCTATCTATCTATCTCTATCTATCTCTATATCTATCTATCTATCTATCTATCTAGTATCTATATCTATCTATCTATATTTATCTATCTATATCTATCTATCTATATCTATCTATCTATATCTATCTATTTATCTATCTATTTATCTATCTATCTCTATCTATCTATATATATATCTATATATATCTATATATATCTATATCTATATATATCTATATATATATATATATATCTATATATATATATATATATATATATATATATATATATATATATATATATATATATATATAATTATAAATTAAGGCACAACAAATCAACAAAATCCACTAGGCATCTTTATTACTAAATAGTTTCGTACCACAGTATGTGGCACTCTTCAGATAAATTGACCTAATATATATATATATAATTATTAATATTAACATACCATTTATGTCAATTACAGTAATTGGCCTTTGATATGTTCCATTGCAAGTTACATGAATGGGATGGTGTAATACCCGTCCAGGAACTTTATGGTGTTTCCAACTACTACTTTGGGAAGTAAAACAAAAAAGTATAGCTAGTTTACATGTATTTGTTGTTGTAATATTTTGAACATATGTCATTGAACATAGTATCCACAGCAATTATTTGTTGTAATCCTGCCTAAATGTTATCTTTATTTATACCATATTTATAGGCCTACCAGCCATAGCATGTATATGGTAATTATGTAATATAGAGAAGCAAGCTTAGCTACAGTGTATATGAATTTGAGTCACTCATTTAAAACATTTATTTAACACAAATTTGTAGAGCAAAGCTTTAATAGGTCATGTATACTTATTTTGCATCCAATTCTATCAGCTATTCTAGGATTATATCCATGATGTGGTGTAGATATCAAGCATTCTATTCATGCTATTCATACATGACTCAAGTCTACACTTGGCATACTTGTCAACACTTAATAGTTGTAATTACTTGAGGTTTCAAACAAATGCTTCACTAAAGACTCCTTTTATACTCCTTTTTATAATATATATCCACACCAGGTAGGCTGAAAAGTTAGACTTACTAATACTGGGAATCTGGAATCCCAAATATTATTGGAAGTCCTAGTATCCCAAAGGTCGCAGGTTTGATTCCCACTGTGGTCAGGTTAACTTTTCAGCCTGCCCAGTGTGGATACACACTCAGAGTAACATCAAAAACATTATATTCACCTGAGACGGGCTGAGTACATATAAACATCAAAACTACCTCGAAAACTCCTTTTATAGTTTACATTTCATTTACAGTATTTCCCTTACAAAACCAAATTATATGGGACATATATGGACCAACTATGGGATTGATATGGTTCAACCTACGGCCATATATGGGAAGTATATGGCTTTGGTATGGCCTGGTTGCCTTCATAGCATACCCATATCATGTTTTTTATATGGGTTTGATACGTATTTGGTACAAATCCATACATATCCCATATGACTTGCTATGGGAAATACATGGGTTCCTTATACCATTTCATAACAACTTTGCTATGGGTAAGATAGGATTCTATATGGGAATGATCTGGGAACGTGATATGGAATTCATATGGTTCTTGATGTATAAACTATGGGATTGATATGGTTCAACCTATGGGCCATATATGGGAAGTATATGGCTTTGGTGTGGCCTGGTTGCCTTCATAGCATATCCATATCATGTTTTTGATATGGGTTTGATACGTATTTGGTACAAATCCATACATATCCCATATCACTTACTATGGGAAATACATGGGTTCCTTATATCATTTCATAACAACTTTGCTATGGGTAAGATAGGATTCTATATGGGAATGATCTGGGAACGTGATATGGAATTCATATGGTTCGTGATGTATAAACTATGGGATTGATATGGTTCAACCTATGGGCCATATATGGGAAGTATATGGCTTTGGTGTGGCCTGGTTGCCTTCATAGCATACCAATATCATGTTTTTGATATGGCGGGTTTGATACGTATTTGGTACAAATCCATACATATCCCATATCACTTACTATGGGAAATAAATGGGTTCCTTATATCATTTCATAACAACTTTGCTATGGGTAAGATAGGATTCTATATGGGAATGATCTGGGAACATGATATGGAATTCATATGGTTCTTGATGTATAAACTATGGGAATGGTATGGGTGCAACAATTATCATATTATATTGGGAATGGTATGGGCACTTGTTTTCATCCCATACCAAACCCATGTTAACATCTAACATCCAAATGCTAGATGCTAACACATGTGGGTTTGGTATGGGATGAAAACAAGTGGCCATACCATTCCAAATATACTTGCTACAGCTCAAGAAATTTGTACTGGTGGCATACATAGTTTTATTAACATGCAAAAAATCTTCAAAAACACAATACACAAATAAATAAACAAATAATTACAAAATTGCTAACTAATTTACTATTTCTTAATGAACTTGCAAAGTTTGTCTAACTAAATTACCATGGTATAACTATATATACAAACATGCAATAATGTCAATTGCTAAGTGCTTATTGATCTATATAAATGTATCGGTATCTATAATGTCCTCAGTCCTCTCAACTTGTGGGCTTGATTACAGACTATTCAAACTCTTTGTGGACGCCTGGCTTCTACACTTTTCATGTTTATTTTTTGTATCACCTGACTTGGTGCAGGGCCTTCATTAGAAAATCTTGCAGAGCAATATGCCCACTGGTGGCAATTCCAGAACATGACAGATCCTTCTACAACTTCTATCATCTGCAGGACGAAATAATTCAAACGTCAAGATTTTGCCAGATTTGACAAAAATGATTATACTGACAGAAAATTTATACCCTATATTCTGCAGCCAAATTTCCATCAAGCATTTTTGCACAAAATCTATTATTTTACTCTGTCTAACAGAAAACAACTTTACTCTGTCAAATGCCAAATCATTATGTTTTACCATATGTCTAATGACAGACAATTTTATTTGTTAAGTGGAGAGTCTGGAACATTAATGGAACAAATATTTAATAAAATAACAAAGTACTAAAAGTAGGGCACATTGCTTCTAAATATGCCAACACAGCAGCTTTTGCGGTTAATTATTAACCTTTCAATAACCAACACTCATCTTGATGAGTAAAATCATCTGATAATTAACTATCAAAGTACTGAAGGTGGGGAGTGATAGGATGAATTGCATCTTAATGTGTTAACAACAAACAATGCAAAATAGTCTGGTGTTAGACAGGCCAAAATATTGAGCTTTGAAATAGAGCAGATTAGTGTGAATTGGGTCTTAATGAGTTTACACATAACACAGGGGGACAGCGAGATCAGTGGCGTAACTACTATGGGCTCGGACCGGGAGAACCCTGGGGCCCCCAACCCCAACGGGGGGCCCTCAGGCTATAGCCTATAGAGCAACAATGCCATTCTCTGACCATCAGAATTCTGTAAAGTCTCTCCCCAAAGTCTGGGAAATGGCATTTCAGAGAGTCTAGATTAAAATATTTTCTGGGTGAGCATGCTCTGGACCCACTAGAAAACTTGTGCATATACGGCGCTCGACTTGTGGCTCTGGCAATTTTACTAGGGGGGGCCTTCGAAAAGTTTGAACCGGGGGCTCCTTGATATAACGTTACGCCACAGTCGCCACTGAGCAAGATAACCTATCAAAGTTGTCCACTCTCTTTCACAAGTAAAATATTTGATCTGGTGTTAGACAAGGTAAAATAAAAAAGTACTGAAAGTTGAGCATATTCATCCTAACGAGTTAGTGTGAAATGTAAGTAAAGAGTCTCGTTAACTTGAATATACCATCACATAGTTAAATGTTAATTTCATAAAAAATATGGAGAATTTTCCTGGCATTACACTAAGGCTAACATATTTTAATTCATATTGACTGGTGCAATTACACCTCTCCCAATGAAATATCAATTTTAATTTGATATCAGAATCTTAGGAAGGTTGCTGCTGATTTGAGCAAGTAGATAAATTTTCAAACTATATGTAATATGAGCATATAGTACTATATAGTCTATATGTAGGCATGCTTAATGTCTGCAATTAATCTTGCATATACAGTTTTATATAGCATATACAAATATATTAACCAATAAACATTGAAAAGTCTAATTCAAATATAAAACTCTTATAGTAGCATTTATTGAAGTATAAAAGACAGATAAATATATTTATATCAGCGTTCTAATCCATTATTGTCGCGGCAAATTCAAATTTTAAACCGATCGAAACACATGCTCGAATTTCACAAATATTGGACTAGGTATTCCTTTATAATTTGCTTTATTATAAAACAAAATATAAACATATGCTCACCTGAACATTATACAAACATCGCTGATGTATTACTAGCGAAAATCCAGTTGAATCTCATCAAAAATAGTTCTATTTTGAACATATAAAGCATTCACAAACAAAAAATTTATAAAATATCGGAGGTGTGATGACCTATCCCAAGATGCTTTGTGCGTGTGGCAAAAAACTAGACACCAGTCTGTTGGTCGCGCACATTGCGGTAATTATTCATTTAATTAATGTTAGAATAAATTTATTTTCCAATCCTATAGGAATTTTTATTTCCTATATGTATATTAGTATATATATAGGAATTTCGTTTTCCTAAAGGAATTTTTTCACCATTTTCAAATCTTATATGAATTCTTATAGGAATTTTCAAATCCTATAGGAATTTCATTTCTTATAGGAATTCCTATAGGAAATTTTCGTAAGTGTTGGCATAGCATTGCCATAGAAATCATATGCATATGTATGATTCTCTATTGGAGGCCAGAACCACACCAAGTTCAGACTCCATATAATTCCCATAGATATGGGAAGTATATGGCACAACCAAGTGTGGACTACCATATAATTCCCATATATGGGAATTATATGGGACAACCAAGTGTGTACTACATATAATTCCCATAGGTATGGGAAGTATATGGGACAACCAAGTGTGGACTACCATATAATTCCCATAGAATTGGTTATATGTAAAAGCATGCCATTGATATGGATTACCTATGGACCAAGTAACCCCACAGATTTCCCATAGGATTAATAGCAATGTGTTTGTTTCCATAGCTTTTCCATATCTCAATATTTAACAAATTTAGACACCATACCAATCCCACATGATATCTATATTGTCCCATATCATGCCCACATATGGGTCATATATGGCCCAAACTTTGCCATATCTTTCCCATACTTTTGCTTTGGTAAGGGTTGTGTGTTTAAGAGCTCCGAGTAAAACGTCAATCCTTGTCTGCCACAAGCTTATATACTATATGAATCTGAAGTAAATTCATCAAGAACTTTAACTACTTATTGAGTCATTTCAAATTATCTTTGTGCTTTGTTAAATTAATCGAAATGTCCGCTAAACAAACCAAGAAAGATGACAACATCAAAAAGCAAATTTCTGAACTAATTCTAGGCGATGGCGATATCTTTAAATGCATTGCTGAGGCTGTACCATCCGCAATTATCGACACTATGTGTGTGAACGAAAGCTTTATTGCTAAAATAGCTGATTAGATTTCTCAAAATGAAAAGCATACAACTAAAATAAAGCAAGAGCTTTTAGAAAGTCTGTTGTTTGATAATACCGACCTTCAAGCAAAAATCACTGATTTGGAAAATAATTGTGCACAATTAAAGAAATCGTACGACAATCTACAAATGGCCCATGACGACTTGGAACCAATATGGTTTGTGGGTTGATATTGAAATACTAAATAAAAAATTAACTTGCGGTGTTTTGTATAGGCACCCTAGAGTCAATTTAGAAGCATATATACTCATGTCTCGACAAAATTCAGCAAGAAAATAAAACTTGTGTCATCCTGGGAGATTTTAACATAAATCTTCTCAACTATTCAGCCCATACTCCAACTAAGGATTTTGTAAAGACTTTAAGGTCTTATTTTTATACTCCACATATTCATAAACCCACACGAATAACAAATCACACAGCAACACTTATTGACAATATATTTTTAAATTCTATTAAGTATCGTACTATAAGTGGCAATATACTTTCTGATATATCTGATCGTCTTCCCAACTTTCTTATTATTAACCAACTAAATGCATTGCCAAAAAATTTCAAAATTTATAAAAGAGATTATTCAAATTTAGATGAGACCGCTTTAATTGATGAAATACAGTCTGTCAATTGGGAAACCATTTTTCCTCATGACTGTGATGTTAATATTATTTTTGACAGATTTTATTCTACAATTGCAGATATTATAGACAAGTATGACCCTGTTAAGAAGCTTAGCAAAAAACAAATTAAGTTTTATTCTAAACCCTGGATTACACCTGGTATTAAGATTTCGATTAAAACTAAGAATAAGTTATTTAACAAATACCTAAATAATAAAAGCCCTGACTACAGCCATAATTACAAATTATACAGAAATAAATTAACTAATCTATTAAGAGTTAGTGAGGAGAAATATTATAATAGTTATTTTATAAAACATAGTAAAGATGTTAAAGCTATTTGGAGAGGCATAAACACTTACAGGTAAACTATGTGAAGCGTTCCTCTTTTGACTTTGTAACTCATTTGGAATTTTCCTCATTAACTTTGCAAATTTGAAAAACTCTTTGCAAATCCCTTGAGGGAATTTGCAAAGTTCCTATCGGCTGTTGCAATATTCCAAACTTCATTTTAAATTTTCCTAACTTCCTGTTTTAATTTCCTAACTTCCTGTTCTGTTCTGAGCGTTGTTATTGGTCGATTATTTTTGTTAGCCAATTGCAACGCCCAGAACAAAACAGGAAGTTAGGAACTTCTAACAGGAACCGAGGAAATTTTTTTTGGCTTTTAGCAACAAATCCCAAGGGAGTTTTTAAATTGCAAAAGTAATGAGGAAAATTGCAATCAATTTAGAAACTCAATTACACTCAAATTACGTGTAATTACACTCAAACCAAAACATTCAACCGCACCCTCTAAATTGATTAGAAACAGTAGAGAAATTGTAGATGCTCAAGAAATTGCCAAAACATTTAATGAATATTTTTCTAATATAGGTAATCGCCTTGATAGTTCAATTCCAAGTACAAATGTCCCACCATTAAGTTACATGAACCCTCCACAAACTTCTAATTTCTTCCTCAGTCCTGTTACAAGATATGAGATAGAAAAGGAAATTATTAAACTAAATCCTACAAAAGCTACCGGGCCATTCAGTATACCAATTAAATTACTTAAAATACTTAATACATATTTATCAAAACCATTAGAAGTACTTTTTAATCATTCATTTCTAACTGGAGTAGTGCCTGAAAGCTTCAAGTCAGCATGTGTAATTCCTATATTAAAAAAGGTTCTCAAACTTGTGTCAACAATTATAGTCCAATCTCCCTGTTATCAATCTTTAATAAATTGCTAGAAAAATTGATGTGTAAAAGGTTAACTAACTATATTGAAAGAAGAGAAATACTTTATAAGGGACAATTTGGATTCAGGTCAAAGCACTCTACAGTACAAGCAGTCATATCAATTACCAATAAGAAATTGAGGATGGTTTGTTTTCTTGTGGAATTTTTTTGGATTTAAGTAAAGCTTTTGATACTGTCAACCACCAAATATTAATAACTACACTTGAGCATTATGGTATAAGGGGAATAACAACAGATTGGTTTATTTCATACTTAGAAAATCGAAAACAATTTGTATCCATAGGAAGTTCAGTATCCGACAAGCTTGTTGTTCCTTGCAGTGTCCCACAAGGATCTGTACTCGGCCCACTGTTGTTTCTTCTGTATATGAATGATTTCAGTAATAGTTCAAAAGTTTTCGATTTTCACCTTTTTGCTGGCGATTCTAATCTGTTTTGTACAAACAAGAGTATTTTGGACATGGAACAAGTTGTTAATAATAATATCGTAAATATTAATTCCTGGCTTAACTGTAATAAACTTTCCCTTAACATTGATAAGACAAATTTTGTTATTTTTCATCCGCCTCAAAAGAAAATTACATCCACAACAAAAATATTTATTATATAATCAAGTACAAATTAACTCATTAAGCAGCAAGCTGTTACAATGTTTCTACCCGCCTAAGGCGCAAGCAATATGGCGAATTTGTGATTGAATTCAAGAGCAGACTTTTTGAAAATTCGCACGCGGCAAGCAAGCGCACTAATTCAATACACTTATTTTAAACCACAATATGTCTGAAACGAGTTGTCGTTTTAAGACTAAATAGATATAACAGTGATTTTAGAGTACCCTACTTACTTAATTTTGAAACAAATGATAGCGATATTACATTTATTAAACGACGTTTCGATGCTACAGCGTGCATCATTTTCAAGTTATAGTATTACATATATTGCGTTGATTTAAATTAAACCGTTCGTGTCACGTTAGCAAATTATTGCGTAAGCATGCAAAATTTAAATTTATATGACGTAATAAATTACATAAATTACATTTAAAAGAAAACATAAAACAGATTAACCATATTTCTGTCTTTCATAAATATATAACATGTACACAAAAAACAACAACAAACAAACATACTAAACAAAACAAACATAAAGCCCATTAATTATAGGACTAAGTATAAAGTTTTGAACGAATCGAGTCCGATTGAGTGTTCAAGGACGGCGATAGTTCCTTAATATACAGCATTTTGTATAGAAGACACTCATACTTTCCTTGGCATTTTCGTAGAATTGAAAAGCAACCTTCAATTCTCGACGCATCCTCTTCGTGATCTTCCCTCATATGTTTCCCGATTACCGATCGCTTGTGCTCATCAATGCGCTGATGTAAGTGCTGACTAGTATAGCCAACATAATCTGCATCGCACAGATCACATTTATATCTATACACAACGCGTTGTTGATTTACAATTGGTGGTTTCATCTTGTGAACTTTAACTTCTTTGATCTTTCTACTTTTAAATACTGGCTCTAATGCTCTACCAATCACCGTACCAAGGCCTGCGAGTTGTCTTCGCACAATATCAGATGACTTCTGATCTTTAAACGGCAGGGCCACGCAAATCACATCTCTTTTCACATACTCAGTTGGGGTCGTGCTGTTCATTTCTGCATATTTCTTGGTTACAAACTCGGAGATGATTGAGTCAACAAGTCTGAGAGGATATCGTAGATTGGCAAAAACGCTCTTTAGACGATCACACTCTTCCACAAAGTGTTTCCAGGATGACGATAAACGGAATGCACAGTTTAGCATGGTAGTAATCAATGATTTCTTATATCTACGATCGACATGGCTTTGGTAGTGAAGAAGGAGGCCGGTATTTGTTGGTTTGACGTAGACTTTTGTTTCGATATGGCCATGCGTTCTTATCGCTTCCATACCAAGAAAAGGCAGCTTCCCGTCGACTTCACATTCCATTGTAAAATTCAAGGATGGATGGCAGTTGTTGAGGGTATTAAGAAAATCTTCCGATGCTAAACTTCGTTGGGTGGTAATGGTGTCATCAACAAAACGGTGGTAAAACGAGGGCATACGGTTGTTGTCAACGAGTTTCTGTTCAATGGAACACATGAAGGTGTTCGCCATCAAGGGGCCAAGTGGTGATCCCATCGCAACGCCGTCTACCTGCTGGTACAGCTTACCGTCTAACTGGAAAAGTTGGTTCTTCACGGCCAAGTTCAACAAGTTAGCTAGTTCCGATCTTTCGAGTTGTAGATGATATGTCTTGTTGAACCACTCGTTATGAAATGCTTTGTCTACCAGGATTTCTATTGTCTCATCAACCGGGACGTTGGTAAAGAGGGAGGAAACATCATACAAGACTAGGATTTCACCATCTTGGATTTCTTTCTTTCGCAATTCTTCGGAGAATAAGAGGGGATCAGGAATAGTGTACTCGTTGGTGGAAAGAGGCTTTAGCTTCTCGTCGAGCCATTTTGCGAGCTTGTAGTTGTAGGTATCTGTGGCAGAAAGGATGGGGCGCATTGCCAATTCTTTCTTATGGTCTTAGGAAGACTGTAAAGATGCACAAGACGTGAACCTTTCGGGGATATGAAATCTGCGATTTGTTTTGGTAAGATCTTTCGTACGGCGCTTTCTATCTCTTTCTCTTTCTGAAGCAATGGGTGGTAGTGTTTTACCGGTCTACCTTTTGACTTTGGTCGTTCCAGACTGACACTTTGGAATTTCTCTTCGTTGTTTATGGACGCTTTATTCAATAACTCCGTATATTGGGATTTATTCATCACCACGACACCTGTTCCTTTGTCTGGTTTTGTTACGACAATGTAACATGTAGAAATGTTACGACATGTAGAAATATGGTTAATCTGTTTTATGTTTTCTTTTAAATGTAATTTATGTAATTTATTACGTCATATAAATTTAAATTTTGCATGCTTACGCAATAATTTGCTAATGTGACACGAACGGTTTAATTTAAATCAACGCAATATATGTAATACTATAACTTGAAAATGATGCACGCTGTAGCATCGAAACGTCGTTTAATAAATGTAATATCCCTACTTACTTAGTGTAATTTAATACTCGAAGTATTCTTGCCAAAAAGTACATGTACGCACACAGTAATTTAATCTGGTGTTGTTTGAAACATACTTTAGCTAAAATAACAACTTGAACAAGAAGACTAACAATGGGGTTACGAAAACAGTCGAAATTGTGCCCAAATTTGCATAAACAGTTTGTCTAAAAAGATAACTTTAAACTAGATTCAACCAACTTTAATGCGGTCGAATTTTGTGAGTGTTTGATCGCA